AATTGTCTTTATGAAAGACAAACTCCAGAGTAGGATGGTCCGGAAAAGCATTTTTTGTTGAGCTGCCTTTGAGTTAAGTTCAACAATTACAAACAAAAATTTCAGCAAATAAAGAACAAAACTTCAGCTACTATGCTTAAGTTCAACAATTACAAACAAAAACTTCAGCACACTTGGTTTAACACACTTGCTACTTCAGGCCCGTCTACATAGAATGAGGAAAAGAAGAATGTGGGAATCACAAAAATCATTGTTGCCACGAGCATTAGCAACAACGATATCAAGCACAAGGGACTGTAATGCAATTGTCTTTATGAAAGACAAACTCCAGAGTAGGATGGTCCGGAAAAGCATTTTTTATTGAGCTGCCTTTGAGTTAAGTTTAACAATTACAAACAAAAACTTCAGCAAATAAAGAACAAAACTTCAGCTACTATGCTTAAGTTCAACAATTACAAACAAAAACTTCAGCACACTTGGTTTAGCACACTTGCTACTTCAGGCCCGTCTACTAGAATGCTGAAGTTTTGCGTGATTGCCTTTGCTACTTCAGCCCCGTATACTGAAGTTACGCGAAAAAGTGGTAACACTTGCAATTTTTTTGATAAAGTGGGCATAAGTTAAAACATGATCCAAAAAGCGGGTATAAATGCAAACGCCCCTTTTAAAAGTCGGGTCGGCCTCTCCTAGCCCATCAAATTCCATGACCTGTGAGGCCTGGGCTTGGCTGGGCTGGCTACCCGTTTTAACAGCTCTATTGGATACTTTACTTGTAGGAGTATATGAAATAACTTGAGGTCAGATTCCTTTAGTTTCCATTTTTCTTCTCTATTCTTTTTTGAGCGGTGATAGGTGAATAGGAGGTAGGGAGGTATTAGTGAGAAATTTGAATCCTTTAAGTGATGTAGTGTGAATTATGAAATTGTATGCGTAAATTCAATAGACTTGGAATTTGTGCACAACAATACTAGCTTTATCGTATTTTTAGGCCATGTAATTAGTGGCATATATTCAGTGTTACACAAACAAAAGATGACAAAGGTAAGATGCTCTGCCCTCCATCCTAAGACTTTGGCATGCATGCTTACACTTCTCTTGAAGAACAAGCATGGAATATAATTTCATGAACAAACAATTTAAGTAGCTGCAAGCAGAGAGTAAATGGAAACAGTACCCAATAATCTTCTTTACATTGCCCTGCAACTGCAAATAAATTAAAGGAGGAGATTGTATTAACTTAAAGGAAGATCGACAAGAATAAGAAAAATGTTAGATTGGGCACCAATTATTATAGGTTATCTTCTGTTCGTACTTCTCTCGCCTGGACTATTATTTCAGCTTCCGGGGAATCAGCGTCATGTCGAATTCAGCAGTTTCGCTACGAATGGGAAAGCCATTCTCCTCCACACCCTACTTTTCTTCGTCTTCTTTACCATCCTCATTTTGGCGTTTCGTATTCGCATTCGCTTTGGCTAGCTCCTGGTTTCCCATGTACACTCTTTTGTTTGAAAGATATTGTTAATTAATAGGTTCAGGTATTCTGGGTGGGATTTATTGGATTTTGTACCGTTATTGTAATGTTCTACCTCTGCCTTTTCATTTTTTTGTTGTTTGTTTCTTGTCTGCTCAAACAAGGGAAATTCTATTCAATATGACAGTTTAAATTTAGGTTGTCTGCTGAAAAATTTACGCTTTGTGCATTTTAAGTGGTACACTTTTTTGTTTTTGAGTTTAACACCATCCATGGTTGGTTTGATTTCTATAGATGTCTGGAATAAGATGCTTTATGTGTAATATCTTATTCCCTTCCGTCTACTTTTTTACGATCCATAATATTGTTTTTTTCAAGATATTAAGAAAGAATTAACTTTTTCTTTCAAAAGTTGCTATTAAAGTAAAGAGCGTAGGAATAGTTTGTTATATTTTTAATAAGAAAATTAAATTTTAATATGGTCAATTTCATTGTTAATTAATGCTAAAAGGTGAATTCTTTAATACATGTGAAAAGAGCGAAAAAAATCACTTAAAATAGGTAGTGAACAAAGATCAAAGGCTTTGTTAGTTTGAATGTGGGAGTTTGATATCATTCTATAAGATTAGTGGGGAGTTCGATTCGATACAATAAATTGTGTCCATGATAAATTCACAAACCATAAATTTTAGAATCGCCTATATATGACGTATTGTCAAGGTGCCACTCACTTCCCTATGAATTTGTTGGTTTGAGTTTTTAAACTAGATTTAATAAGAAAGTTTTTTTAAATATGTCTTCTAAAATCAGAATAATAAGTTTTTTAAAATGTATTTTCTAAAATCAGAATAATTCTTTTTTTACTTACAGAGACAAGATTCTGTAAAGTAACTAGTATTAATTTTTAAAAATTATATTTTAATAATCCATTTAAATAACTATAAATATATTTAAGTTCAAACGAACTAGGTCCTAAATATGAATAAATTCTGATTTAAAAATTAGTTTTTTGCTAGAAATATTCATAAAAATAATACCGTGTATAGACAAACAATGATATAACCATTTCCCTTGGAGGCATGGCACCCTGACAATAGGATTTAGCTCTTCTCTTCAAATGTATTTCTTTGAAAAGCTTTTTTTGAACAAATGCTTTCAAAATCAATTAGTTTTTAGAAGCTTGACCCAACATGCTCTTAATCTTGTAGTACAAATTCTTTTTTATGTTGTTTTCTCTTTCAGCAAATTTAGATGAACATCTTGAAGACCACCATTTATATTTGAGAGAATTACACATAAGTACATAAGTACATTTCACATATAATCTATATATATATAACTTTGTAAAGTCATAGCCCGAAGATAATAAGCCAAAATTCAATATCCAATTTCAAATTGGTTCTTGAAATAGCTAATGTATCTAATTTTTTTTATTAAAACCTCAAGCTTCTAATCCAATTTTTGAATCACACTAAAAAAAATATTGTAATAATGGTGGTTTTTACCTGCCGCTATAAGCATTTACCTACAACATTTAATCATAATTAATTAATATATATAATTTTATATTCATGAAAAGTATAACATTGATATAGTTTAGTACAACATGGAATATGAATAAATATTTATGGAGAATATTTGTGTCATCTTGATAAATCTACTAAATACAATACATCTTATCTCAACCTTTTTATCTTTATTTGGGTCTAAATTATAATCTCCCATTATTCTCATTTCAATTAAATTGACCGCCCATGTCCCTTGGAATTATACCTGTTTAACGGGTCGGGTTGACCCATTTTCGGACCGGCCCAGATCAATTGTAACCCGAACCGGCCCGAATCGGTAGTTAGAGGGCCGGGTGGGCTGGGTTAGGGGGTTTAGGGGGTTGATTCGTATAAAAATAATTCGATTAACCGGACCAGTCAAAACCTGATCAATGAAAAATATTGTTGAACCGGTTAACCGGCCCTGCCCGGACCGGTTCAACGGCTATTTTCTGAATTTTTTATTTTTTATTTTTATTTTTTAAAGGGATATGACCGCTGGCAACGGTCAGCTTCAAATTTGGCCGTTGCCCAACGGGTTGATTGCAAGAATAGCTCTTTTTTGGGCAATTTTTTTTTAAAAAATAACACTTTTAGTAATTATTAATTTAGCCCTTTAAACTATAAATACATCCCCATCTTTTTTTATTTCTTCACTCATCTCTCATTTCTCAAACTTAAATTCTCAATTCAAGCTAAATCATGCCCTGTACTTCTAGAGTGCGCTCATATATTTGGGAACACTTTGAGGTGGTAGAAGAAAATGAAGAAGTTCACAAAGTAAAGTGCAAGAACTATGGTCTAGTCTTAAATCTTCGTCTAAAGTGAGTGGGCACAGACTGTTTAAGGAGGCATATAAAGAGTTGTCTTGAGCGTCCTCCAGAAATTCGTATTTAAGTTGATTTGAGACAATTTATGTTATTTTAAAATTATTAGACGTATTTATGCTTAATATTTTAGTTAGTTAGATTAATTTGAAGTATTATTATGCAATGAAAATTTAGTTTTACTCTTTTTTTGTTAATTTAGTTGTTGTTAAATGTAAACTTTAATTTGTAAGTTTAAAATAAAAACTTGCAAATTATAAGTGCAAATTTTTTCCATCTTCATTGTATTCTATTATCTTACATTCTTAATGAAATGTTCAAAATTTCAAATATAAGAATTTTAAAGTCTTTGCATCCTTTTATTCAAACTCTTTTTATAAGATTGTTTTTTTGTTTTATATTTTTACTTTATATTAATATAAATTACGATAGTTATACAAAATACAAAAAAAAAAAAAAATAACAATAACCCGGACCGGCCTTGCCCCTTGAACCCATAATCGTTCCAGTTTATTTTTTACCGGGTGGACCCGGACCTGTTAAGCCCAGTTTGAAAAACTAATAACCGGCCCGGATTAAAAACTGGTTGGTTATCTTTTTTCTCAGCCCGTACCGACCCGTCCCACCCGTTAAACACCTTTACTTGGAATTGATGCCTAGTTTACTTGATAAGTCATAAGCCTTCCTCAAATGTAGTGAAGTGTCGAAGCTTCATTCATTAGCATAATATCAATACTGGAGCCCGTTTGGCTTCACTGATTTAGAGTAGCTGATAAACATTAGGTGCTGAAAAATATTTTTAAGTGCTGAAATTGATTTAAAAAATAAGCAGTTACGTGTTTGGATAAAAGTGTTGAAATTAATAATATGCAGTTGAAGAACTGGGTATACGAAGAATTTTGTTTTAAAAAGAAGTATTTTAGGAATAGAATAGTAAATATTTTGATTAAACTTAAATTGCTTATAAGCTGAAATTTGATAAGTTGGGGGAGACTAACTTATGACTTTTGGCTTATTTTTGACCTACAAGCATTTAACTTATAAACACTTTTAATTTTACTAAATGCGTATAGCTAAAAGGTAATTATGAGCCACACCCTCACATACTTTCCAATTTTCCCTTTCCCACCCACGAAGCAATAAAAAGTTGTATTTCAAATAAATTGAGATCTGTCACTTTTGGGCCACTTTTTCTAGATCTTTGGCTGTCATCAGTCACCCCTATTTTCCATTCATTTCATCTGCTCAAACCGACAAGTTAATTGTGTGAGGAGCAATGGCGGACTGGGGCCCAGTGTTGATAGCAGTGGTGCTGTTTGTGCTGTTAACTCCGGGCCTATTATTCCAGCTTCCCGGCCGTGGAAAAGTGGTTGAATTTGGGAACATGCAAACTAGCGGCGCCTCCATTTTGGTCCATACCATTATTTATTTTGGCCTCATCACTATCTTCCTCCTTGCCATTGGCGTCCATGTCTACACCGGCTAAATAATTTTACCTTCACTTGTTGTAAGTTGTAACAAACTCTCTTCAATTGGATCTTACATTTCCGAATTGCTACCAGATTGTATCAATTGGGTGAACTGTTGGGTTTTTTTCCCCCTTTACCTTAATTACTCAAATACTTCAAAGCATTATGCACTACTTTTCTTAGGTTCATCAATTGACAGGATCGTTAGAATCTGCAAATTTTTCTTCGCTCTTTGGAATAATGATTGGACTTCAAGTACGATGATGAAAAATCGAATTACTATTCGTCTCCTAATCCCAACAAGGGAGTAAATCAATGAAAGAATGTGATGAGAGATTGATTTCGTAAAAATTCGGATTGTGGAAAATTATCTGGTAGTAATATATAAAATGTGCTTAGTGTTTGGACAATATTTGGTTGAAGTTGAGGTTGAAAAGGAGTATCTGTTTGCATATAATATTTCACATTAAAATTGAAAATGAAATAAGTTTTATATTTAGTTCCTGTGTCTTTGGTGGGAGTTTACTGGGTAGTTGTTGTTGTTGTTGTTGTTGTTGTTGTATTTAGTTCCTGTGTTTGAAACATCAGACTATGTACCAAAGAGAATGACTTGTGGTCAATGTACTTATTATTTTATAGCCATATGTTATTTTCCTAGTTGATTTTTGTTTTCATTGTTGTCACTGCTTGATATTACCTCTACCTATGTGAGATTTGCAAAGCATAAGTTTAATGGATTTCCTGAACTGGAAAAGAAGGATTCGCATAGCCGGTCCAACTAATTTGAGATTGAAGAGTAGTTGATTGATCATCACTGCTTATTGCGCATTATTGTTTGCCTTAACTGATGCTTCATTGTTGTTCGATGATCAAGCCATTCCTTTTTGGGCATTTCCCCTCAGTGCTTTGCTATTCACTTTTCCTTCTTCCAAATCTTCAATTTTACCACATACGCCTTGAATCCTGCTATTGCCTAAATAGAGAATGGGAATGACTGTCCCCATTTCCATGTTATTCCATCCAAAAGACAGGCTAGTTTGAGTTCTAGAGTTAGCTCAGACCTATCAGTCGCATCTCTTGTTATAGTTTCAAGTGTCATACTAAGACTAGGAAACAGGGTTTAATGATTTCTCTGGTGAATCGACCATTTCCATATCTATATTCTTTCTTGAGGATGAAATGGAGATAAGCTGAGAATGGTTTGAAGAAAAGTAGTGAAACCTGCAATGGCTACTAACTTCGCTTTTACTTTCTCATAAAGCATGTTATGTCTGAGTAGTAGTAGCAGCTAGTCTCCCTTGTGGCCCTTCCCATGGGGTTTGCCATGAGACAACTGCATGCTATTTATTCTATTTGCCCCAGTACCTTTGGCTCCACGCTCCTTTTTTTATTCAGCATTGTGACCAGCTATGCGTGTGATCACATAGGCGGAGTTGTAGTTATATTTCCAGTAACCAGTAAATGAGTTGCTGTCTGCAGAAATGAGCTAATTGTGCTCTATCTACTCTGTTTCATGTATTGCTGATCAAATGCTCTTCTCTTGGCGAGTTATTTACTGCAGCATTATTAGGGCATAAGCGTGCAGCTCGTATTGTTTTTGTGTTGGGAGTGCTGGTGGGGGTGCCATCCTCCCAAAGGTTAACGCAAATCTGATGTCTAACGACCTACTGCTTATTGCAACTATTGAAATTACGAACTATACTATAGCAGTGTTTAGATGATATATCTAACCAAGGCTTTGGGAATTCACATAAGCTAGATTCTAGTGCTTGATGAAGGGATTTAAAGGAGCTTCTTAGTGCATTCTTGAATAACAATGAAAGTATTTATAATCTTTGTTGCTGCTGATTTTGAGGTGACCAAACTTCACTCTCTTGTCAAAAGATAAAAGCTTCTATTCTTGATTTGGTCAATTTCTTCTGGTGTCCAACTCAGAAATTCAATACAACAGTCACATATTGTCAATATTTGACTGCTACTAACAGATTTCTTGCCGCCACTTCTTTGGGCAGTGCAGTCAGATCTTTCTATAACAACATTCTTATATAACAACACAACATTTCTCTATAAAAGTCAAATTTTTTCGGAACCAAATCTCATGTTCTATTATAATATATGTTTTTTAGCAATTCGCTATAACATCCAAAAATATCCGGAACAAACAAGACTGTTATAAAGAGGTTTGACTGTGTAACGAAAATGAGTAGATAATATTGACTAAGAACAAGAAGGAAAGAAGAACAACTTATTAAAAATACTATGTAAGCCACTGCCTTGAAAACGATTTCGGCACGACTGGGTGCAAATCGTTAAGACCGATCGCTCAGCAAGGTTCCACAACACCTCCAAACACGCACACTCGTGGTTGGAAGTTTAGAATTTGCACAAAACAGTTGCCCAGAAGGAAGAGAAGATGAAGGTATTTTCAGTAGCTGTTACGGAAATTAAAATGTTGTAGGAAGAAAGTAATGATTAGCAAAGATGAATTCTTGGTTAAGAATTGAGTGAATACGATGGCTAATGACCATCCTATTTATAGGCAATTAGGGAGGTTGCATGTATGACAAGTGTGGAGAGTCTTTTAACACTTGTACAAATATATTAGTCCACTTGACTTCAATATTAACAAGTGTACCTAGTCTTTCATGCATGAAGACACATGGTAGATTTGCATAACCACTTGTCAAAGTCATTCAACACTTAGCTTTAAATCAATGTCACATGTAAAAACTCTTGTCATGTACCAATTATCTAAGAGTTTTTGGCCACAAGCTTTATGCAAGAAGCCATTTGGAAATAGATAGGACATTTGAAATAAAAAGACCCATGGCTATTGGTTGTAAATGAATTTTCAAAAAGAAATCTTTGATTTTGTATTATAAATAATACCAACAGACTGTACAGTAAAATGACAGTTCAATTATTATTTGCTAGGGTTGCCAGCAGAAACATTAGTACAAAGGTGTAGAACTGTTGGCTTTGTGAACTGGTTATGAGGCATATTGATTCACTTGTCAAGCATATAAAAGGTCAAATAAGAGGGGTGAATTAGTTGTAGTCCGAGGAATATGAAATGGAACAAATTTATTATGAGATTTTCCTCGTTTTCTGGTTCATCAACTATACATAAAATGTCAAGAAAGAAGTAATGAAAATGATTTTTAAGCTTTTTGTAAACAAAGCTACTCATTCAAGTTCCGTCTTCCATTCCGAGTTCATTTTGTATTGAGCTCCTCTGTACTAATTAATAACATTATAGGAAAAAAGATTTTCTGTCTACACCGCTTTTCAGAAAGAAACAAAAAAATTGATCGACAAAATTTAGTTAAAATAGGCACTACACTAAGAGATCCTATGTGATCTTCCTTTTTAAATTTTTTCATTTTTACTAATGTGATCTTTGTTGATCATGACATCACTTAATTTCTAGTTTTTGAAATGTTCTGCAATTGGCACAAGCAATAAAACTCAGTCACTACCTTAATATTTTCCATCCACCGGTCTAAAATAACATTATACTTTAATTGTTACGAGCTTTTAAAGTAGAATAACTTTATGCAAAGATGAAGAATCAGTTATTTTTAGGAATCAGCTAAGTGTTTGCCATTTTAGACAAATAAATACATTAAAAGAAACTTATTACAATAAATAGTGTCAAGACGACTTGCAAAGTATTTCATGCATATGTTCATAAGATAAATCGTACTTTCCTAATAAACCAATCAGGGCTTAACAAGCGATAAAGAAGTGCCTTCACCGCGATACCAATCTAATAGATGCATGACATAGGTTTGCATATTGATTTCTCTAAATCAACCATGGTTAATTAATACATATGTTTCTCTATTAAATAATTTAACTATGACAAATTAATAAGATTTGTGTAAACAACGAGTCCCAAAGATTCAGATTTTAATGAAAAGACCATTTCCACTTTTGTTTAATCCATTTTTGTGATGGTTGCAATAGTTCTTTTCAAGAAATGGAAAAAAAACATAATAGTACAAAATGTAAACCACAATAATGACATAATGATGATGGCAACGATTATAAAGCACACATTAATTATTAAATGAAAATTAGGTTAGCGAGTTGACAAATGATTGAAAAGAAGTCTTTAGAAATGCAATCCGAAATATAATTGAAGTGAAAGGGACTTGGTTTTGTGTTATTTGGATGTTTATCATCAACCACTATCTAGCCAAACCTAATCCCAAAATCATTTACATATAAATGCACCAACTTAACTACTTTTCTTTCTTATAGTCCATCTTTTTTCTCCCTCCAAAACTAGGGTTTTCTCATTATTCATCGCGACAATAGCTTTTATTCTTGGTCATAGTTATTATATTGATGATCTACGAAGAATATACAACGGTAAATGAGTAATCTTCTTATTCTTCAACTTTCATTTCTTTTTCTTTTTGTTAATACTAGCTATCAAGTTTCAAATGTGATGTTGGAATGGCTCAATCTAATCAAAATTTCCAACATATTTGGTCCTTTAATTTGATTGAGCCGTGCCAATATCATATTGGCTTCCAGCGAGTTGTTCCTTGTCTTTATTTTTTCATCTAATGTCATACTATGGGGGTGTTTGGCATGACGGAAAATATGTTCGAGCAGAAATTGTGTCATCATCCAACACTATCTAAAATTTAAGTATTATTTTAAATGGACGAGAAGAGAAAAATATAAGTGAAGAAAGTTGCTTTTTACCATTAGTGGAAGATATTTTTCAAGGAAAATATCTTTTAGTATTAGATGGCCTGAAATTGACTTATCTTCTGAAAAATACTTTCCTTCCTGCCAAACACATCCGTGCCTCTTAAAATCTATGTCTCTATCTCTCTTTGGGTTAGAGTATTATTTCAAATTTAATGCTCATATTCAGAAAGTCTAAATTTTCTCAACTTTCTCCAATTCAGGACCACTATAATTAGTATTGACATTTTCTTTTTCGATCTTGGATTTGGCCAACTTGTTCTCCTGGGATCATATAAAGATGGGATTGATATTATTCCTAAGGTATCAAACTGTCGATGTGTCGTCTCTCTCTTGTTATATTGACATAGCCAGTAGTTTGGTGAATAAACAATTTTTCATGTTCTTTATGTATTCATATGCAGAATCGAATATCTTTTTCCATACAGAATGTCATGATTTGGCATAACGCTGAAATAAGACTTGAAAGCATATATAATGTTTTAATAGAGTTAAGAGATTATTTTTTTCACTCGATGTCCCGTAATGGTATTAGGATCCGACTAAGTCTGCATTCACACTGAAAAGTCCAACATTTGGGAGGTAAACCGCTCTCTGACAAACACGCAGACTTCATATCGAGGGCGTGAATCCGAAATCTCTGGTTAAAGATAACTATTGGTGTTAAGAGATTTATTATTTCTCAAGAGTATCTTTATTAAAGGTATATATATATATATTTGAATTTTTGTGAAATTTGTAAAAGAAAAAAGAGAAACGTTTCAGATGACGTAATATTATATTGAATTTCTTTTTTTTTTGTTGTTGAGAAAATAGACAGACTCTGCATATCCTATAAAGAGTATAAACTTCTAATAGGATGCAATTTCTTTTCTCTTTATTTCTTTCTTAGGTGGTGTAGGTTTTAGCTAAAGAAA